GTGCTCATCTCCATTTCTAAGCCGAAGAGCCGGCATTGTCTGTAGACACCTCCAAGGTCATGTGGCCGGCAAAACTGCATGGAGTGCTGTTACCTTCCTGCCAGAGTGGTACCTACTCATATTTTCATGTTTTCAAACTGCTAGGTTGGCAGAAGCTGGGGCTGACACCTCACACCGCTCCCCGGATTCGAACCTGCGACCTTTCGGTCAGCAACTTCAGCAGCCCAGCACTTTAACCCACCGGGGGTTCCATATATATATAGTTGTGTGTGTGTGTGTTTACTTCCCAGTTGGTTTTATATCACCAATTTGGAACTTTTGTCTTGCATTTCATCTCTGTTCTTTGTATTTTAATATGCATTTTGTAGAAATATGTTTTAATATGTGTATTTTATAGTGTGTTTTAGATGATGGAGAGGTGGGTAAGAAATAAAATTATTATTATTAATTTTTATATATATTATGTGTATGAATCACACACACACACACACATATACATCCCATTGCCTTTTGTTGACTTTGCCTAACGATGCTAGATATGCCCAACATGGCATCTCATTTGGCAGCCCTGGTTGTATTGTTTCTAAAATGCGGATAGTTTCAGCTACTATCCCGCAACTCTGGTCTTTCCTTTGCACCTCTTAGATTTTCCTCATCAACTTGGTGCGGCGTCCAGACCGGCGTCAACGAATGCTGGATGCTCTCTTGGAGCTGGAGATCGAGCCCTTGGTGGTGAACGCTGTGGATGGAAGGTGACGGGATCGGTCCCACTTAGTTTGGTTTCCTAACCTTTGGATGTTTTTGTTGCTCTCCTTTGCACACGCTTAACTTGCCAATCTCCTCCTTGCTTGGTGCTGTGGAGAGCATAGCATCCCATCACATCGTATTGCATTCCCTCCTTCTTGAGTTGTGTCCAACCTCTTCCATCCCTTCCTTTCCAGTGCCTTAAATAGCAGCGACATCAAGAAGCTTGGTGTGGACCTGCTGCCCGGTTATTACGACCCCTTTTCGGGCAGGACGCTCACCAAAGGGGAGGTGGGCTGCTTCCTTAGCCATCATCATATCTGGAAGGAGGTAAGGGATATTGCAGAACTGGAGAGAAGGTGGGACTAACTGGGACTGAACCAGACGAGAGAGACTCCCAAGCTAAGTAACAGGCTGAGGAAGCCTAGGGCTGGCTGGCTGCTGAGCCTTCCATTCCTAATAAGAGGCAGTCGAGATAATAATAATAATAATTATTATTATTATTATTATTATTATTATTAACATAATTATTAACATTTGAGTTAGGTTAATCGATCAACAAGCTCAGCAGCTCAGTGCTTTAACCCACTGCGCCACCGGGGGCTCCGGGGAGATGGTAGCGGAGTACAAATAATAATAATAATAA